TAAATTATAGTCGGGATAATAAAAATATCTCTCTTCTTCACATTTGTTGGGCACTAAAATAACGTGCTGTCCTGTTTTTTTTTTTTTTTAGTACAAGGACAAGCTACGCTTGATAAGAGTAGTTATATATTTATATCTCCTTCCCTATTATCTATGTCTATCAAAGCTAATCTCCTGCAGCAGTCGGTGACATCTGGGTAAACTTCCATCTGATCCACAATTGAGTGGGCATGCTTTGCTAACGCATCAGCACATTGTAATGACTCTCGGGCAGCATATGCAAGCTTCATATTCTACTCTTCATAGATGAGCTTCCTTGTCTCTTCAATCTCTTGTCTGAATGGATGGTTAATGCCACTATCTCTCACCAGAGTGGAAATTGCTTCCAATGAGTCTGAGTGTATCTGAAAGTCTCTTATATTGAGGCTCTTGCATACCTCCATCCCAGCTTTAATAGCTAAGATTTCAGCAGCAACAACTAGGTAGTTTCCAAGCTTCCTTGTGAATCCTATAACCCACTTCCCTCGGTGATCACGAACTACACCTCCACAGGTTGCTTGTTGATTCCCTTGGGCGGATGCATCTACGTCCACTCTGAGTTCACCCATCGGTGGTCCAATCTAGTGTCTAGGTAGGCTTTGATGATCCTTGAAGATTTGATGACGCAGTTTTGCTCTGGATATATCCTCCATAATGTGAAACAAACTTTGGTGGTAGATTTCCGAGCATGTGCTGTTGTCTCTTCCAAATAATTGGTTGCACCGTGCTTTCCAGATGAGCCAGCATACATGACCAAAGATCTTCGTCCATGGCCATTGCTGGAATCTTTCTTTTGCTGGATTGTTCTTCATATTCCACGTGAGCCAGTCCTTCAAATTATGAGAAAAAAAGACAGCAGAATAGTTAGGGTGAATAAATTTCTTTCACACTTGTGACGCTCTTTTACAGTCCCTCAATGTATGTGTGATGCTCTCCTCGCATAGACAGCCTAAGGGGCATAGACTAGAATCCGTTATCCCCCTTTGAGATCTAAGTGAGTTGGTCATTAATCTCTCATGAGCTGTTTGCCAAAGGAAATGCTTGATTTTTTTAGGCACCTGCCAACGCCATATGTTCTTCCACACCAATCCTCCAGTATTGGTAGTCAACTCAGATAAGAATTTATATGCTACTTTGATTGTAAACTGGCCATCCGGGGTTATGCCAGCATACCACATCTTCCTCATCAGCACTTGGTGGTCTAATTTGTTGGAGGACTCGTGTTATATTATCTGGAAAGAACTCATTCCATTGCCCGACATCCCATTGTCCACTTGGCAAGACAAAGTTCGCAACCAGGTTACTGGGGTCAATTCTATCTAAGTTTTTTGAAGCATATTGAATCAGAGGTCCTTCAAGCAGTGTCCATAAGTCCAGCCAGAATTTGGTCTGTCTTCCACTATTTAGCTTCCTACCTAGTCCCTGAGTGAATTTCTCCCATACCCCAGAAATGGCTTTCCAAGTCAGTGAGCATTGCTTATGTTTGACAACTGCAGGAATAGTCTCTTTTCCACAATCATACCGGGCTCTAAGGCATTGCACCCATAGAGCTTCAGTTTCGTCACCAGGCCCCAACACAGCTTCATTACAAAAGCTTGATTTTGTTTCTCAAGATTCCTTATGCCAAGCCCCCATGCCTTTGTTTTGCATAATTTTTTCCCACGAGATAAGGTGCATTTTCTGTGCATGTTCATCTTGACTCCAAAGGAAGTTTCGGCTAATCTTCTCAATTTCCTTCAAAACTCCTTTAGGTATGAGAGTAGATTGCATTTGGTAAGATGGAAGAGCTGCTATGAATGCTTTGATAAGTACAGCGCATCCTGCCATGTTAAGAAACTTTCCTTTTCAGCATGAAAGCTTGGCTCTGACTTTTCTTATGATATGCCCAAATGTCTCCTTGGTTACCTTCTTGTGGATGAGAGGTATTTTGAGGTATTTACCAAGGTCAGGTGTTATTCCGATGCCAAGCTTTTGACACAAACTAGAAGCCCGATGGAAGTTGACATTCCTAGAGAAAAAAGCTTTGGACTTGTTTAGATTAATCCTATGTCCTGAGTCTATACAGAATCTTTCCATGACCTGCTTAATGACTCTGATTTGGTTCTGTGAGGCTTCAGTAAACAAAATAAGGTCATCTGCAAAAAAGAGGTGGGATAGGTGGGGTCCTTCACTATGGAATCGAAGAGGTTTCCATCTTTGATTAGCGCATTCAGCCTTTATAAGTTGCCCCAGTCTTTCCATGCACAGAACGAAAAGATATGGACTTAGAGGATCTCCCTGGCATACTCCTCTTGAGGGGGTGAAGGTAGGGCCTTCTTCACCATTCCATAGGACTCTCATTTTAGCTGATCTTGTGCATTCCATGATTACCCTTCCTATGTTCTCATTAATGCCAATACTTCTGAGTGTATCCTCAAGAAATGACCATTCTAGCCTATCATAGGCCTTTTCCATATCCACCTTGATTGCAACATATGCTTTCCTTCCAGGCTTAGTTCTCATTAGGTGGATAGCTTCCTGTGCAACCACAATGTTATCACAACTGAATCTACCCCTGATAAAGCTGCATTGTTTTGCTCCTATTAGATAATTCATCACTGGCTGCAACCTTGTTGCAATGATCTTGGTCACAATCTTGAAGCTCACATTGCACAAGGAGATTGGTCTCATGTCTTTTAGGGTCGTTGGATGCTCCACCTTAGGTATGAGAACTATATTTGTTGAATTAATTTCCTTGATTTTCGAGGGGTCCCTGAAAACTTCTTTTATCAGCCTGCAAATTTGGTCCCCAATTCTATCCCACTATGTCTAAAAAAAGTGTGCCGGAAGTCCATCTGGTTCTGGGGCTTTAAAAGCTCCCATTGCAAAAGCTGCATTTTTTATTTCAATGTTGCTCATTTCCTTATGTATCAGGTCTAAGTGCTGCGGTTGGATTGTTGGAAAGGCATTGGGCCAACTTATCGCTCTATTTGGATATGCTTCACTTGTATACAGGGTTTTGAAGTAATTGCTTGCCATTTGTTTCAGCTATTCATTGTCTCTGATCGATTCCCCTGCATCATTTTGCAGTTCTGCGATCACACTCATCTTTTTTTTTATCATAGCAGTAGCATGGAAATACTTTGTGTTTTTATCCCTCCACTGAAGCCATTGACATCTAGCTCTTTGGAACCACATTAGTTCTTCTTGCAAGATCAGCTTATTATAATCACTCCACAATCTTGCTGTCCTGTTTTTCAAAAGCGGGGCTAAAGCCCAAGTTAGCTATGTCCTCTTCATTTTTTATTCACATCTGTGTATCTTTTTGTTCGATAATGCTAAAGGCTCCTCGTCAAAAAGCAAAAGACAGTACTTGGTTATTATATGTGACACTTTCACCAAAACAAAGTGATAAATGTCGAAAAAATTGCAATAATTATCATGCCATGCGTAATATATTAAAATCAAACGCGTCTAATAATCATGATCAAACTCTACCTAAATTATTATGCAGTCCTAAAAGAGTAGTATGATTATAAAATAAAATAAAATCGATGCTCATTTGTTATCTGATGGTTCTATTTTTTTTTAGATGTTAAAATACACAAACTTTTTCTGAGTAGTTGCACATCACTTTTCTGAGCTTTAAAAATTTAAATTAAAGACTCTTATATTTTATATTTTGATTATTAACTCTCTTATCATTAAAATTGCCATTAAAGTTAATGGTTTTTAACATGTCATAATATTATATTTTTATTATGTATCATACCATTTAAAAAATAGCATTTGCTGGCATTCAACATATAATTTCAAGTATTTTACATTTTTTTAATGATTTTTTTTACAGTCAAAATATTTTGAATTATTTTTTTTTAAGTATAAAAATATTTAAAATTATATGTCAAATGCCAAATATTATGTTCTTAAAGCCCTAAAAGGTTAAGATGTATCTAGCACTTGAAATATTTTCTCAGATGTATTCAGCACTCTAAAACATTTTGTAATGTATTTAACATCTCGAAATATTTTTTATGTGCACCTAGCACCTTGAAATTTTTTTTTTGCCTTGGTGTTAGATGCACCAAAAAATATTTTTAGGTGTTAAGCGCACTAAACAAATTACTTTAGAATGTTAGGTGCATAAAAATATTTTAAAATATTAGACGCAGTTAAAAAAATATTTTAAGATATTGAAATACATTACAAAATATTTTAAATGTTGGATGCACTCAAAAAATCTTAAATGTATTAGATGCATCTTAACCCTATATAATAAAAAGTATAAAAAATTATGACACGAGGAAAATCATTAACTCTAACAGTAATTCTAATGTAAATGATTAAAATATAAAAATTCAAGGTTTTTAATGTAAATTTTTAAAAGTTGTGAGGTCACACCCAACAACCGAAAAGAAACAAGTTCTGTATACCTTGCTGGTTGATCCAGCGGGAAAACAATCTGTCCCGCAAAGTCGCAATCACAAATCCGAGAACCAAAGAACTGTAGATCTTTACCCTTTTTGCTGGCCTTTTTTTTGTTCACATTTGTTCTGATTTCTATTGGCTCAAAATAACGAAAGAAAAGAAAGAGGGTTTGTCAACTTTTATATTATATGAAATTTGAAAAATATTTTTATGATCTACCCTCTTATAAGACACATTTCTGATTATTTTATGTATTTTTCATAATATTAAGAGGGATTAATTTGATTAATTAAGAGAGTCAACTTCATTTAATAATAGATATATTTAAAATATTAAACTACTTTCTTTTTGCCACAAATTAAAATAATTTAATTTAGAGATATTGAATATATTAACTAAGAATAATTAGTTAAAAGTGTTTTATAACAGTAAACTGGTGTTCTTGATATATTTGTGGGAGTAATAATTAATTATTAATTATTAATTAATTTTATAAAAAGTGGTAATGTATTATACGCACGTGTTTTTTTTTTTTTGGCCCTTTCGTCAGATTCCACGGCATCCACGCGAAATGCAAAACTCGTTCAAATCTGACGCGGTCCTTCGCATGGAACTCAACGCAGCGGGGTCGGTGGCTTAGAAATGGACCATCCTCCGAAAAAGGAAGAACAGTGCTTAAGGGGTTTGGTGGAGGGTGGGTTGTATTGCAGAGGGAGCCGCTTAGCCTCTTGAATGCCACGCAACTACCTAGATATGAATGTTAGGAAGTAGGAAGGTCGAATAATTATGCAGTTTTGTGCATTTGAATATTACTCCACTACATCCGTCCACTTTCCCAGCTCGAACTGACGATGACACAGAGCAATGCGGGCTTCGGCGGGCAAAGCTATGCAAGAATCTTCAATTAAAATTCCTCTTGTCATTCTCACTTTACCCAAACCGGCAAATCCTATTCCGTCTTGTTATTTTTGTCTTTCGGCCTTCAAGAAAATGTGAAATCTCCATGTTGTGCCGCTTCAAGCTTCGGTCGCTTCTGACCAAACCAACCAGACCAATCGCTCTCTTAGTTCGGATCTAATTCCTGTAAAAATTAATCACTTAATACAATGGCCCATCTGATCAAAACCGAACCTTGTGATTTATTCTGTCCTGGGGGCTTGTTCCTCGATATTGATTCAGCTCATGCGTCGTTTATTTCGTTGATATCGCCCAAAACTTATTCTGAAGCGGAAAGGGTTTCGTGTTTTTCATGGGGACGCAGAAGAACGGTGAGTTTCGAAATATTTAGGCGGGAAAGGAGAGCTTCGGGCACAGTGGGTGGGGGGTTTTTGTCGTTGAGCTTGTCCATAAACGGAAGCGAAGGGGATCAGAGCTATGTTCGAGAATCGCAAGAAATTCTGGGCCAGCATGAGGGTAAAATTTCGGACAGGTCCGATGGATGTAAAGAGAAGGAGAATGTTCAGATGAAGGGAGCGGGTGCTATGAATGTGACTAGGCATCTGTGGGCGGGAGCTGTGGCTGCTATGGTTTCAAGGTTTGGATTTTTTAGTATGTCTAATATTTGGAATAACGAACGATTAGTTCATGTGACGTGCTATTCTTTTCTTCTTCCATTCTCGTGACTAATTTTTCCTTTTAATTTCATCTTTCGAATGACATACCTTTGCTTTTGTCTTCTTTGCCTGGTAATTGCTGTCACTTCGTGGTTTGCCTTCATTTCAGGTGGCGACAATGATATCTTTCTCTTCTTTGTTCGGTTTTGTAAGGATTGGAAAAAGTTATATTTTCATTTTAGATTGATAAAAGAATGTTCATGATGTGTCGCCTTATCATTTTGACAATTTCAGAACTCCTTTTCTTTCATGTTGGGTCAGCTCCAAGAAATTCATGAGGTCGGTACTGTGAATTAGGAATTCACATAAATTCAACATGCCGTTCTCCTCTGCCGTTCTAAGTTTTATATAGATCCCTTTTAGTTTCAAATGGTTGCTATGGCAGAGAACTTCTAAATGCTTTAGCTATATCTGTCACTTTGCTGCACAATTTGAATTCAGTTACCCATCTTTATTTCTTTTTGCATCACAAATTTATTGGCCAACATGCTTTTTGTTGTTTCAGGACATTTGTAGCGCCTCTTGAGAGACTTAAGCTGGAATACATAGTTCGTGGTGAACAGAAAAACCTATTTGAGCTCATTAAGGAAATTGCAACTTCTCAAGGGTTGAAAGGCTTCTGGAAAGGGAATTTCGTAAATATTCTACGGACAGCACCCTTTAAAGCTATAAATTTTTATGCTTATGATACTTATAGAAATCATCTGTTAAGGATTTCTGGAAACGAAGAAACCACAAATTTTGAGAGATTTGTTGCGGGTGCTGCTGCAGGGATTACAGCTACCTTGCTCTGCCTACCTATGGACACTGTAAGTAGCAATCTAAGACTGTTAATCTTTCTCTTATAACTTTCTTTCTGTGTTAATCTGTTGTTGTATGTTCTTATATCTAGTTTGATGTAAAGCAGGTGGCTTATGCAATGCATGTAGAGTTTATATTACCAGTTTGCTGCAATTATAAACATCCTATCTTTTGAGTATTAATTTACAAAATGCCTATATAGTTTTCAATCCTAATCTTCGTTTAATTAATTTAGCTTGGACTATTGACATGATAGCTCAATTGACAATGCTGTATGGGGCTTTTCTCTTTTTTGCCACTCCTGTTGGCTTCCCATCTCTCTTCACATCAATTTACTCAATCCTTTGGTTCTTGCACTTAATTTTCAAAACAATTTAGAGTTCTTTAGAGCCTATAACAAGTGCTTCCTAACATATAGGAGTTGTAAATATGTCTTTGCCCATCACTGTTGCTTTGTTACCTTGATTTATTGTCCTCCAGGTCCAGGATGCTTTCTAATTGTACTTCTGTGATTTTTAACGTGCTATATTTCTTTTAATTTTTCTGGTGATTCAGAACATAATAATAGTCATGAGCTATAAAACATTTTAAGGAAAGAAAAGGCACTGGCTGGAGAACATAATTTTTGGTATACGTCTCTAGTGTATCACTAGGATCATAAAAAGGCATTCTCAAGCATTTCATGTTATTCCTTCTCGGAACAGTTTTCTCAATTAAGTGTGATTTTTGGTTCTATTACGTTTCAATTTTATTCTGAGAGTGACGCTTTTCAGATCAGGACGGTAATGGTTGCACCTGGTGGTGAGGCCTTGGGAGGTGTGGTTGGTGCCTTCCGGCACATGATAAGAACTGAAGGCTTCTTTTCTCTCTACAAGGGTTTGGTACCCTCCATTGTCAGCATGGCACCTTCCGGTGCCGTATTTTATGGTGTTTATGACATATTAAAGTCGGCATATCTGCATTCACCTGAAGGAAGGAAAAGGATCCAACATATGAAAGAACAAGCTCAAGAGCTCAATGCTTTGGAACAATTGGAATTGGGACCCATTAGAACTCTAATATATGGTGCTATTGCTGGTTGTGCAGCTGAAGCTGCTACATATCCCTTTGAAGTTGTTAGAAGACAGCTTCAAATGCAAGTTCGGGCAACAAGAATGAATGCACTGGCAACTTGTGTCAAGATTGTTGAACAGGGTGGTGTTCCAGCTCTCTATGCTGGATTGATTCCCAGCTTGTTGCAGGTATGATCTGTGTTCCTGATTTTATCTTTTGAAAAATACACGTCAAATTTCAGTCCATTGGTAAAATAAGAACTGGACACATTGTGATTTTTTTTCCCCCCTCTCTCCCTTTGGGGTTAACTGAGGGCAGTTACTCTAGTTATGTAGCTCTTGTTTGAACCTGCACATCGTAGGCAATAAGGTCAGGCAACAGCAGAGTTTGGTTTAAAAATGAGTTTTCAAACTGACATGAACAGATGTGTTTTTGAGAATTCTAAGGCTCCTTAGTTATTTTGACACCTTTTGGATTTGCTCATGAACTTCGCAAACGTCTGAAACTAATTGGCTTACTGTTCTAAAGTGATATTCACTGATAGAAGTATTGATTTGATTGGTACCAAAGTATATTTTTAAGTCAGAAGTTAGGCGAACATGTAGGACCTCTATGCGACTCAAGGAGGATGCTATTAGGGCATAAAATTGGGCAAGATTGCAACACCTCTTGAAGCCGATGTGTCCTTTTCTTTGTTTTTGATCCCCCTGTCTAGTTGGCCAGGTCATGACTAGTGATCGTCATCTACTTCGGGTCTCTGGAATGTTTCAATGAGATTAGGTTAGACTGAATCCGTTGGTTGAAGATTATTCAGTATTTGAGCTTGAATATAAGACTAGAGTAGCTAACTACAATTTCCCCTTTCAGAAGACAATAATATTTGAGTAAATTTATGATTCAGTCCCTCAAGGACTTAGCCACATGCATTCTTGTTCACTGAAGATATCAAGAGTCAAATTCTCAAACCTGTTCATGCCAAGCAAAGAACCCCATTTTTTTCAAGTCTAAGATATAGTGAAACTTCAGTGCATAAACTGTGTATAAATTAGGATTATCACCAAAACATTCCCAAGTCCAAGGTCCATGACATGATCTGTACCTCCTTATTGTCTCCATCCTTTTCTAATTTTCATCATTTATGTGTAGTACTTAAAGAATTGCAAATTTAGTTTCAGTACAAAGTTCTGACATAGCCTCTTCAATTGGATGACTCTTCAGGTGTTACCATCAGCCGCCATTAGTTATTTTGTTTACGAGTTCATGAAGATAGTTCTCAAAGTAGAATAGACGATAATGACAGCAACTCAATGCCAGATATTAGTGGAGGATGAGAATATCTTTCTCCTTTAGACATTTTTCCTTTTGGAGGCGGAACTGCTGATGTATGGGATGAGGAATGGGGCATGTCTCGCACAAAAAAGTATTGATATTTTCTCTTAACAATTTGATATAATTTGAATAAACAGAAGAGGGAAGAAACATCCATGTTCTGTCAGTTTGAAGAGAAATAAGAAAAGAGATCCCTCTCCAATTTAGTGTCAGCTCGATGGAGACTTTTTTTTTCTTCTCAATGGAGTTTGAGTGTCCTTAGAATTTGTCCCCTTTACACTTCAACCGGTAACTTGTATCTGTTCTGCAACAACAAATGCAGAAGTTATTCGTTTATACTTGTAGCATTTGACATCTGTGTTTAATTTTAGGGTCATTAGTGTATTGGTAATATGTGATGATGCAGTGTTGGAACTTTTGGCTCGGACCTGAGGTTCTAGCTATTCATGTTTTGTTAACTTTTATTCCTGTTCAGTTACCTTGGGATGTAATGCCGAAAATTATACAGACACGTGCATGTTGATAAGAGCTGGCTCGTAGTAAGTTGAAGACCATGCGGGTGAGGTCGGTCCTAAAAGGGCTACCTCTTGGTGGGTTAACAGTTAGCCGAGCTGAGCCTATTAGGGAGCCCGTGAACCTCCATCTTTTTTTTTAACAACTTTTTTACATGTATTTATATAATTAAATTAATCTCAAAACTTAAAATATAAACATATAATTCATTTTTAATAGTTATTTTATTAATATAAAAATGATAAAACAATAAAGAAAGTGAAAAATTAAATTTAGAATCAAAGTTTCTAGCAAAATATGAAGGTGTATTAAACTGAGTAAAAATGATCCTTTTTCTTATTAAAATTAAAATAAAATTATAAAAAAAATTTTAAAAGAAAAAACAAGTATCTCATGAGTTGGCATTTACGGGCTAGGCCGTGACCCAACTCGTTTTGTGGGTTAAGCCAGCGGTATTATCACGTCTGAAAATGACCATTTTGCCTCTTTGTAGTAATACTGAAAAGTATTGTGATTATGTGATAAATAATAAAAAAGTAGGGTGTAAACTTTAAAGAGTTCCTTCATAATTAATGAAAGCAAAATTAGTAAATTTCTAAGAAAATGACAAGTAAGAATCTATAGAAGTATTGAGTCTCAGCTAAAATCTAGGAATGCATTATTTCCTTTCATTTAACTTAATACAAGTATAACAAATTACCCAATCTTGATATAATGTAAAATTTACATTTAACATGAAAATTCTGATAAATCAGTGTAATTCCTGCACTTTTTGTTTGAATTCTTTCGTAACTGCCTATTTATGTTATACTTCTCCGATCCTTAATATAAGACATATTTAACTAATTTGATTAGATTAAGGAAATTAAGTAAGTTAGTTAATTATAAGAAAAGTGACATTTTTCCTAAAACACCATAATCATCTTTCTTAATACCTCCTCTCCCTCTTCTACTTGATTATGGTTGAGAGAGTATCTATAGGGGTAATTTAGATAAAATTGATAAATATAAGAAATATGTCTTATATTTAGGACCAAAACCAACTCAAGAATTAGGTTCTATATTAAGGACCGGATGAGTGTTATTTATAAGCTCATTGATAATACCATTTATTTCTCATTCTATGAAATGAATGAGACATGAGAGAATGAGAAATTTTCTTTTATTATACAATTTATAAAGAGCATATGAGAAATAATGAGCAAAAATTTATGGGTTAAGATACACCTAACATCTCAAAGTGTTTTGTAATACATCCAGCACGTTAAAATATTTTTTAGGTGCATCTATAAAATATTATTTTTGTCCTGATGTTGGATACACAAAATATTTTTAGATGCTAAATGCATCTCAACAAAATATTTTACTGTACTAGATGCATATAAAAAGAATATTTTAGATTACTAAATACACCACAAAATACGTTAAGATATTGGATGTACTAAAAAATATTTCAGGATGTTAAACGCACTTTAACCATAATACATTAATGTTCTTTAGTTTGGGATCAAACGTTTTGATAGATCCCTGCTTGTAGTCTTCTCCATTCATCACTCGCCCCTTCTACTATCTATCATAAAATTCATTAGAATTACGTATGGCTCCGCTATCCATAATAGAACACGATGGCAACACGGTGTCACAAAAAAAAGATACATATGATAATTGTATCTTATCTCTGCCATATCATTGCAGTAGAGATAGAACCAAATTTTTGCAAGTCATAATCCATCGTTAGAGTTAAATGCTTTTCTATGACTCCTTGTCCACTCTCCGAAATGCTAAACTTTGTTCATTCAGACCTACCAGGTAATAGCTTTTACAATACACGAGCCTTGAGAAATAAATAGGCCAGTTAATCAATTTTCTTGTTCAACTAACCAGTCTGGTCCAATTTTTATCACAAGTTATAACCAATTCCCAGTTACATTCTGATTCCAAACATTGTCCAAAAACAACATTGGCAGCAATGTGTATGAGCTGTTCAAATCATATGTACCACGCTTTCAACTCTTATTGTGAAAACAAAAAAGGATGGTGTACTTCCACAGATCACTGTACAAGCCGAACACCTTAGTATACATTTCCAAAACCCGTATCTTGTGAAGGACAACGGCTTCTCCAACAGGTTGAAGGGAAAAAGGTCATTTTTCTTTTCTTTTTTTTTTCTTTTTAAAAAAGAACAGAGAAAATATATGGAAGGAAAAGTTCAAAATGATTTGATGTACCTAAATGTTGTCGAGCTCCTCTGCCTAGTTCCCGTTTCCAGAGCCAAGGCTCTCATAGAACAAAATGTACCCATGGTCTGTGTTACTGGAATACTCCTGTGCTGAGCCAAAGAATGTCTGCACAGCAGATTCATCGATCATCTCAACATTTTCATCATCAAAAAATAACCAGTGGTTATGACTTTTCACGAGGCTGACATAATGTCCGTGGTTAGGCCCACTGCCAACATGAACCACCACTGCAAATAGGGAATACTCAACATCTGCATCTTCCACAGTGTTGCCCAGCTTCAGCTCGAGAGGAAAGACAACCCTGTAAGACAGCTTCTTGTTTCGACCCAGTTGTTCAATGTACTTGAACCGCTTAAGATGGATGACCAATATGTGAGGTGGTTTCTTTATTTTCATCCTTTTCTGAGCTTCTTGCAAACTAATATCATAATAAAGTTGTATCAGATATGAATGGAAATGAAGAACACTTGTACACACCATTGACCTAAAGGGCAATAAAATAACTTTAAGACGCCAGAAGGAAAAATGTCAGTTATCAAGTCAAGAAGATCCTGGTATGCATTCTCTAACAACACCAGTCACAGCCATAAACCAGATTGCAACAAACACAACAGTATTTTAAGTATGTCTAAGTAAAAGCTGCAGCATTACTGCTAATATTATAAAACATATAGCAATGTATCCATTCTGTATGAAAAGTAGATCAAATCATCAAATTAACCATAAACTAAATTCAATATTGCAGTAATTCAACATTGATGCTACATCTTCACAGATATTTCATTTCATTCTTGCAAACAAGCAGCAAAATAGTTGTAATTGATCCTTTGCCTTCTCAGAGTACTCAAGGAACCATTTAACAGTTAATGTCATAAACGTATTATGAGTGTAAGGTATGAAAAACAAAAATAGGGCACATAAGTAAAAGCTATTCACCTGCAGCACTTGTCACAAAAAAATTTGTCTTCAGCATTTAGAGTCTCAGTGGAGCTGAAGTTTTTCAAACAGCTTGTGATCGAACTGTTCTGCTCAATATCAAGGCTCAAGTCAAAAAATGTTTCATCCCTAGCTGTCACTGTTTCACAACGTAAGCACCTTGTCTCATTGGTGAGTATGCCCTGATCAGATCAGTTTACAATTATTATTTGTCAGAAGTAGGAGAACAACTTATTTTGTGGCCACTGAAGAGAAGGTATTTCCCAATCAAGGAAGACTACTACACGCGCACACGTGCATAGAATAATAGAGACCCAGAATAGAATAACGGATAGCATGATTATTTCCACAAAATTACTGGTCAAAACCACTGCGAAAAGAGAACAGAAAATGTGATTTGATCCAATTTATCAATTGCCATTTATGCTCCCATGTTTTGCCACAAGCTACATGCTAATATGAAAACATTACATTGGTAGAGATGGTCACCTGAAAATTTTTGTGCACCCATGTAACTAAAGGTTCCTTTTTAGTGCCATTAGCTAAACCGTTCTTAGGTACATTTCCAGGATCAGAAGGGGGTGAGGTCTCTTGATCACTTTTTGCAGCCTGTGCCTCTTTCTCCAAAATGTCCACAAGTTCATTTAACAAAAAGTTCAAGAATTCGTGTGCATCCTAGCAAAAAAAGAAGAAAGAGAAGATCCATGTCGACAAAATGCAGAAACATAATATAACCAACACTAAATTCGGCTAAACAGACAAAATAAACAAATAATGCAAGATAAAGTGAAACAGAAAGTTATGAAGAAAAAGCTATCCACTGATATTAGGGGCAAAAAAGATATCCACTGACCAACTGGAGAAAAACAACCTCATTGGGATGTACATTTTGTCATAACTCAAAAAACAACCTTACTCAATCATTTCTGTGAAATAAACATCTAACATTGGTCTCCCCCCCCCCCCCCCAAAAAAAAAAAGGCCAAAGAACCACAACGCTAATCATCATTTGGCATGTAGGAGTAGGACCAACATTTTTAGATGTCTTTACATGCTTTAAGTGGTATGTATGACTTGGCAAAAAAAAAAAAAGAAGCAGAAAATATTCCAATGGGCGCGCGCACGTAACAGTCAATGAAAATGGCAATTAACACGCACACATTTTCAATCCAATAGGCATGCACACACATATATATCACATACTCCTATTCTTTATTTTCCTTCCTTTTTAAAAGAAATAGAGTGGAAATATTAAAACAATAACACTTCAACTAATGATCCGCAAACTGAGCATTTAGTACTTCCCAACTTTGCCTCATGGAAACCTTAAACACAGATCATAGCATCTAAAGTGAGCGGCCATTATTTGAATCAGCAGCAACATAATATAAAGGGCATAACTCTATGCATACAATCTTTCCATAAGCATAGACAAACACAAAAACATTTACAATGACACAAGGCCTATAAAAGCATGTACAATAACACAATGCATATGACCCTTCCCCTCCATTGGAATTTCAAACTTCTAGAATCACCGCTTTCTTCACAGAAAGCTTCATCTTGACGAATTAAAGACATACCTGGTGCATATAGCTTCGGAAGAGTTCATTCTGTTTCTTTAACCTCTGCACAAATCGTTTGGGAGCAATGACACCTGTTTTCTTCTTCTGGGAAGTTATCTACACCCAAAGAAATAGCATATATGTTAAGCAAACAACCATGAAGGAATAATATATACACTTGGTGAGCATGACCCACGATATCATTGCAAGCGAGAGTCAAAGCACCGAACACATCAGCATGTAGAACTCC